CCACGAATCCCTTCGCACTTGTTCGAGGAATACCTCCACGAAACTCCTGTTCACGAAATAATCGTGTCTACTCGCCTCCTGCACCCTGCCGAACTCCACCTGTCGCAAAATCTCCTGCGACGAACCGACAAATTTAACTGGTCGAATTCCTCAAACTTTCCGCAAAACAAGGCTCCTGTTCGCGGTGGACAGCCTCTGTTTCCCACGGATTATTGAATCGGTCGAACTCCTCTGTTTCCCTGAAACTAAACGACGGTTCACACCTAGCGCCTCGCGATTCTGTCGCGAAGTTTGCTCCTATCGCGAACTGACGCGATTCTTCGATTGCACGACTCCTCTGTGAACCTATCGCACCGAACCTGTCACGAACGCAGAAACGCCTTCGCGAACTCCTCTTCGTCGAATTCGCCTCTTCCGAATTCGGCAGAAACGCCTTCGCGAACTCCTCTTCGTCGAATTCGCCTATGCCTGTGTCGTGCTCCTCTGTCGCGTGCAGATCCTATCGCGAACCTTCTCCTGTCGCGATCCAAGGCCTTCGCGAAAATTTTCGAGCCCGCTTCTCCTGTCGTAAGCGAACTGTGCCGCAAATCCTTCGCCTGTGGCGTTCGCGTGAAGCCCTTCCGAACTCCCGCTGTTGCGCCTCTGCGAACTGTGTCGAACTCCCGCAAATCCAAGGCCCTCGCAAGCGAACTGTACCGCAGAGGAGCGAATTGTGCCTCTGCGGACCTCCGAATTCGTCTGTTGCGCCGAACCTTCGCTGAACTCCCACGGAACTCCCTTGCGAACTACCGCAACTCCTCTGCGAAGCCCTCTTTTTGCAAACCTTTCGAGGAACTGTCGCAAAACCGGCAAAACCACCCGAACTTCCTTCTCAAATCTTCTTCCTGCGTCGATCTCCTCCTGTTCCCCTCGCTCCTCGCTCTGATACCAATTGTTGTGAAAATTTAATGCGGAATAAAACAGGAATCGACACAAACTAGAAGAACACGGAGATTTAACGAGGTTCGGCAAAGAATTGCCTACGTCCTCGGGAGCGAGCAGCGGTTTCACTATTTCAGAGAAGTTCAATTACATCCCATAGGGTTTCCCATATAAATAGACATATACAGACCCTCAGATAAAATTACAATCACGCCCTCGCTCCTCCCAACCCCCTTTATTTCAAGAGACACTCCTTTTCACCAGGAGACACGCCTCTTCAAAAGAAACTCCAACTCCCCAGATATGAGCCATATCTAACATATTTGATATGAACCTATCAAATCTTCTGTATCATTGTCTCATGGTTTGCTTCAGGTCATAGAGACTCTTCTTCAATTTGCAAACCAAACATTTTTTTGGCTGGAACCTTGTAACTTTGTGGTTGGACCATGTAATAACTCCACGTCCAATTCTTCCTGTGAGAAAGTTGTTTTTACATCCATCTACTCCAGATGTTGATCTTCCTCTACTACCAGACTCCGCATAACCCTGACAGTCTTCATCTTCGCAACTGGGAAGATCTCTGTGTAATCCACTCCTTTCTACTGGAAATCCTTTACAATAAGTCTCGTCTTGTAGTGCTTGCTACCATCTGACTCCTCTTTCAACCTCTTGACCCACATGTTATGTAGTGCTCTTTTTCCATTTGGCAGTACCGTCAAATTCTATGTGTTATTTGACTTTAAAGATTGCATTTCTTCATCCATGACAAGCTCCCACTCCCTTAAATTTTCAACTTGAGTGACCTTCTCAAAGCACTCTAGTTCACCACTATCATTGAGTAACAAATAGTATAAAGAAAGAGAATATCTGTGTACGGGTCGTATCACTCTGCTGGATCATCTGAATTATGTAGGAAGTGATTGAGGAACTTTTAGTGCTGCTTCTAGTTGAGTGATACTTTTTTCTCCACTCTCCTGATCACCAGTGTCATCTATCTCAACATATATGGATTCTTCAGAAGTAACTGACGGACTGTCCTGAGTTTTGACCCTATCCTTGTACATCTCCATCTCACTGAATGTGACGTCACTGCTTTTGATGGATTTCTGATTTTGATATTCTCAGAACATGTACCCAAATTTAACTGAGCCATATCCAATGAAGATGCACCAGACAAATTTCGAGTCAAGCTTGCTCCTAGACCCTACATCAATATGCACATATGCAGAACATCCAAATACTCTTAAATGAGATGGACATTCATTTTTGTCACTCTAGGCCTCTTCAGGTAAGTCTTTCTCCAAAGATGCTGATAGACTATGGTTTATCAGATAAACTGTTGTATTTACTGCTTCAGCCCAAAATTGTTTTAGCAAGTCTGCATGCAGCCTCATGCTCCTAGCATGCTCCGTGATTGTTTTGTTTATGCGCTTAACCACACTATTCTGCTGTGGTGTCTTTGGGACAGTGAACTCATGTACTACAATTCAACTTCATTGTCTTAATATTGTCAAAAAATTGGCAGTCCTTTCAGAACCTTCTCCAAGCCGAGTATTTTAAGCTTTCGAAGCCCCAATGAGCTAAACAACGTGCAATCTCATCGGACTCAATTAATGCTTAAACTGAATTAATGATAATGATCTATATAGTGTAAATTTTGCTAACTAAAGTGGTTCTACTAAACATAAAAATTCACCCGCTAGTAGATTTTCTTTTCTTGGACTGGTTGTCTTCTTGCTTTCAATGTTGCTATAGTGCAACCCAGCTCCAGTATAGACTGTGTAATACATGATGCTTTGCCCGCTCATCCAAGGTATTACTGTTATTTTACAATGAAATTTTGTTTTGAACACTTTCCTGTAGCTAGAAAGCTCAATTTTTCTTATGAAAGTGTGAAGCTCCAACACATTGTAAGATATAATTGAAGCAACTTTTGAAATATCACCCAATAATGCATAAAATCCTCAAACTTTTCTTAACTTTTATGACAACCAAAGAACCCTTGCAAATATTGAGGACTTCAATATCATTGAAATGCAAATAACTGGCATCACTAAGAGTACTTAATGATATAATATTTACTCTCAAATTTCTTACCAAAAAAAAAATTATTGCATGCTCAAGACTAGCAGAAGTCTTAGTCTCACGATCTTATGTCCTTAAATTTACTGTGTTAAAACCAACAGTCCTGCACACATGTTTTTCTACATATACATATCCATTACGAACAATCCCCCACCCGACTTTGTCAACACACTAAAGCTTAGAAATTATATATTTCTCAAAAGTGCATTTTTTGCATATTGAAAGCTTAATATATTCTTATATGCAACATGTTGCCATAAAAAATATTTGTTAAGTGCAAGATTGAAAGCATAATAAAAGTTGAGCATTGTTCCTCAATCAATTGAAATTTCAAAACTGAAATTTTAAATATCATTCTTAGCAGCACATAATGACAATTCTGAAGGTTCAACATTAGTATCCAAATACAGAAAGTGAGCAATCTCTAATGGTGTACTTTCACATATCATTATCTGCTTTCCATGGCAAAGAAACCAGAAGGAATGAATTTATGTTATGGAAGTTATCTTCTTTTTTGTTTTGTTGTTTCAATTACAAGAGTTTCTTTATTTGCATTTCTTTTACTACTCTTACATGAAAATAATACTCTATCTCATTAAAAAATATATATATACAGTGGCGCTGGCAAGGGTGTTGTTTCCAATGGAGGCAAGAGTCGCCATGGATATCGCTCATGTTGATGGCACCTTGGAGTTTTCGCTCGGCACATCTGCAAGCCATAGATCCACAGTAGACTTAAATGAAGCACCTTTCAGGATTAAGGAAGAGCATCTAATCCGAATGAAAGCACTTTCCAAAACAGGTATGTTCCTCCTGTTATTAACCGTTCATCTTCTTGCAATAAAAAATTTAAGAATGTAAATAAATTAAAAAACAATTTTTTATCACAGTTGAACTCGGGAAACGCTTCTTCCCCCGATGCTCGGAGGTTCTGAACAAAATCATGGATGATGATGATGTAACTGAGCTTACTTTTTTCGGGCATAATACCTCCGAAGATCATCGACGAAAGAGGTACATGGAACTCCAGGACGTGTTGAGCAAAGCTTTTACTGAGGACAAGGAGGAATTTGATAAGTTTGCTCCGAATCAATAGTTTTCAAGTGAGGAAGTAGTTTTAGATTTATGTATGCTGGTTTTTGAATTTCAGGTGAGGAAAGTAGTTTAGCTTTCTGTGTCTTCTGTAGCCATTGTTGTAATTGTATGTAAATACTTTCTGCTGTACGTTTCAGCAGTAAAAGGTCTGTAATCAAATTTTGTTACTGTAAATAGAATAATGATCAATAAATATGTGTATTTTACTTTCATTTGTTGCATGGATGAGTTCTTCATAAGTAACAGAATAAACATGACTTAATAAATCAAATTCATTTTCAAGCTTGAATCACATCAAGTACAAAAAAAAAATGCTATCATGATTCAAAAATAGGCTTAGTTGTGTATGTATCATCTTAAATCCATGCCTTCAAACAAAAGAGATTTGTTAGTCCATTTTTAGTTTAAAAAATGGCAATGAGTCATATAAATTGAAACAAATCAATCCTCATGCCTTGAAGCATAATTGCGCATCAGTCCATTATGATTAACAGAATTATTATAATTTATAAACCATTTCTTTTGCATTTTCGTGCTGATATTCATTCATTTATGGGTTCTATTTAGGGTGATGCTATTCATTGAATCTCAATGAAAATCGTAATTTGAAATCACAATAAAGGTTGCAATTTGCAATCTGTAAAGGATTCCCTTGAAATAAGATTTACTGAATCGATAAGTCCGAATTTATCAGATCCAGTTAAGGTTAAATAAAGTTAATTTCATTTGATTCAATTTGGGGTGTTATTTCAGGATTTAATAGCAATTAATTTTCTTAAAAAATAAATATGAAATACAAGGCTCACACCACAATAAATTTTAATTTTTTAAGAAAATAATGTGATATGTTTTGGGATGGGAACTTGGGGCTTCAATTGATTTACTAAAATCAAAATCACACTGTGGAAAAATGATCATGCTGATTTGAGAAATCTCGAACAAAATATTGAACAAATACGAACAACAAAGTAATCCCAAAAAATAAATCAAGGTTTATAACATACAAAAACTCAAAAATGGAAAAAATTCATGGAGCCACACCATACTAAAATTTCACTGTGAATAGAGAATGTATAAAAATTGTCACCGCTCAAATCTTGTCTCTACTTCACTTGAACTTACAGTAATTTTGCTCTAAAACTTCTCTTGATTGCATAAGAGAGATCACATGCTCCAAAATTCACCTCCAACGCACCACGCAAAGCTCTACAAGAGTTCAACACGCACTGTAGTGACTCGCCAGAGAGAATCATTATGTCATTGCTCTGAATCGATGGTTTAAAAATTGAATCGGGAGACAAACCACACCTAGCACAATCATGACACTAATCAACGTAATTATGCTAGCCACTCTTTTTTGAAGCATGGAACGAAGAAAACTACGGTGTAGGCATGCTACTTCCCGACATAATTACACCACCCTGGAATGAAAGACAAATGTGGCGTATATACACCATGCTGAGCATGATTACGCCAACATGGGATTCCTATTTTGTATATCTGCTCTTTCAGGGTCCATATCTCAACAATCTTCCCCTTAAAGACGGATAACACCCAACTACTCTTCTCCAATTACTTATTAACATCTGAATGTATTAACATCTAAACGATCTTCAAAGTCATGTACCATAGTGTGGGTCTCAACATTTCTGGACTCCAACTAAAGCCAAACATAGCACCAATTTTTCTTTAGTCATCACCTTAGTCAACATATCGACGGGATTCTAAGTTGTATGTATCTTCTCCAAGAACAATAACCCATCTTCTAGGAGAGAGCAAAAAAAGTGATACCTTAGCTGAATAACTTTTATCATAGTATGAAAAGATGCATTCTTTGCAAGAAGAATAACACTCATATTATCACTATGAAACTTTTCAATTCACTGATTCTTGTCCATTTCTACCATAAAGCTCTACAACAAGCCATCTCTTTCTTTGTTGGCCTTAATGACAACAATGCATTCGACTTCAATAGTTGAAAGTGCAAAAATATTCTGCAGCCTTGAAACACAAATTACATCTATGTTCTGTAATATGAAGGTATTTCTTATCATACTTCTTCTAACATTTAAATCTCATGTCATATATGAATTTAGAAATCTATATAGACTGATAACTGCACTTCCAAAATAAAGTGTCATGTTAATTGTTCCCCTTAAGTATCTAAGAATCCACTTCATCGCCTCCCAATGTCACTTTCTTGGATTAGTCATATACATGCTGACAACTCTTACTGTATATGCAATATCTGTTCTTATATATATAATAGAATACATCATACTTTCAACTACTAAAGTTTATGGAGTTCTCCCCATCTGTGCTTGCTTTGCCTTAGACTTAGGCGATAATTCCTTAGATTGCTTGAAGTGACTACCTAAAGGGGTGCAAGTTGATTTTGTCTCACTCATGTTAAATTTGTATAGAATTTTTTCAACATGTTCTTCATGTGACAACTTCAGTATATATGCACTTCTTTCTCTATTGATTATCATCCTGAGGATCTTCTTAGTTGAACATAAATGTTTCATCTCGAATAATTTAATAATTGCTCCTTCAAGTCCATGCTTTTCACCATATATGCCCTGTAATGAATGACATTCACATATAAAGAAGCAAGATATTTTAATCATCAAAGTTTTTGATGAAGTAACAATAGTATGTCTGCCACTTCATGTACCTACTGACAGAGATGAACATGTCAAACCTTTTATACCACTATCTCGGTGCATGCTTCAAGCCATATATGATCTTCTTCAACCTACAGCCAAAATTTTCTTTCCCTTAAAGCTTGTAGCCCTATGGTTCCATTATGTGCATTTCCTCTTCCAAATCTCCATGTAAAAAGATTGTATTTACATTAATCTGCTCCTAATGTAGATCTTCCTCTGCTGCCAAGTTCAGCATCTCTGACAATTATCATCTACACCAAAGGAAAACAAAATCTCACTGTAGTTCACTCATTCATGTTGAACTCCTTTCACAACAAGCATAATCTTATAGCGATTGCTATCATATGGCTCCTCCTTCATCTTGTAGACTGAAATGAATCAAATTTGTGATATTTTTCATCATAAATTCCATCCTTTCATTCTTCATTATGATAACTTTAGTCTTGTGGAATATATTTTGGCTATATTTTGCAGTTTATAGGTGTTAAGCGTGCTTTGAGAAACCAAAACATGAAGTTGGACAAAAGTAGGGACTACCGTACCTACACTACTTCCTAGCATAATTATGTGTGGTCCTCTTGACATAAATGCGATTAGAAGATAGAGGAGGAGACATAATTGCACTAATCCAAGACATAAATATGTTGCCATCCAGCGTAGCTACGCCAATTTGTTTTAATTCCTTTCTCTTTTTATTTTTAAATGAGTGGCTACTTGTCCATCATTGTATCATAATGAGAACTACTTGCAACCAAAGATTCAGGTGTGCTTGCCTATTCTAGGGTCTGAAGTGCTCTCAAGGGGACGTATCCCACTTGACTAATTGCATCTTGGGGGTTACCCAAGAATACTCTTGATCTGAGGAGCTTTGCTTACAATTAAAGTGACAACTAGGATATGGCTATCAATAACAATTATTTTGCATGGCAATACTCCGATGTTTTGATTGATTAACCATGATTTTTTTTTATTTTAAAATAAATTTAATTAGTATAAAATGTATCATAATGAAATACGATTCTAATTTCTAACTAGTTTTTTCTTCTGTATTATATTCTTTAAAAGGTTTCCTTCTGCCTCCTCCACCTTGCTTTCCTATATCTAAAAAAAAAGATAATTACGTATAGATCACCTAAAATATTGATATTTACAAATTAATTATCTAGGTAATTTTTTTGAACCGCCGAACTAATATATTTATGTGTGTCACGATCAAACTATTGAGATTTTGATAAAAATGAAAAATATGTGTTAGGATTTTACCATGAATTTTTAATTCGTGTGAGAATTTGAAAATTAGATGAAAGAGCATGGTCGTTTTGTAAATAGCAAGTTTCCAGTGGTGTGCATGAAATTGTCCCAAAAAAAAAGGAGGATTTGCATACTTAATACCCAATCTATGCATGCAAAATTGTATTTCATTTCCTTCAAAATCATAATAGTGATATTTTTGAGGAGAGAAGAAAGATTTTGATGCTATAAATATAAAAAGTAAGGATTAGATTTTAGCTAGATATGTAAATACATAGGATTGGGTGGTATTTATGTAAATGCCCCAAAAAAAAAAGTGTTCAAGGACTGATAAAAAACTCTGCATTTACAGACAGCCACGTAATTTCTAATTTCAACAAAGCTAAAACCACGTAGCCATAAATAATTAGCTTCTGACTCTTGACCATTGACTTCTAGACTCTGACTGGTCAATATACTGCAAGCTGAAGGTTGTTCGTCTACTTTAATACGAAAGGTCTCTTACATAAATCTCACGCAACATATAAATATATATATATATATGCTAATAATTATCATATATTAGAATATTTGTTCTACTAACAGTGAAATGGAAATTAAATTAATATATTTGAAATCACTAAAACTGAGCCATCACAACTCAAAAAAAACTATAATTTGAAATTAAATGTATGTCTTTTGTGTAATTTAAAAAATTTTCTTATAAATTTGCCCCTTTCAATATCACGATGATTTGAATATTTTCATATGATTAGTTATTACAAAATTACATAATTCATTTAATAACTAATTAAATGTCTCAATACATCAGTTTATTAAACACCATCTGGGTTCTAATTAGCTTAATTTATAGGTAAAAATATTACATCAGAAGTCCTGATATATTTTTACATCAGGACTCTAATCACTGTCTGCCACGTGTACAGTCCGACCCCACTGTGTATTAAATTATTTAGTTTTTCTTACTAAAGGGGCCAAACTGTGCGCGTGACAGACCGTGATTGGAGTCTTAATGCAAAAATGCATCAGGAAAATGCCTATAAAATTGCATAAAGACTCCTAATGTTATATTTTCTCGAGATTCTCAATTTCTAGGCAGTTTCCTTACCTCAAATTTGTCAATTAGTTCCAATATTAGTTCCAATATATTTTGCATGTTAGTTCCAATATATTTTGCATGTTTTTTTTTTTGTGAAGGACATTGTTAATAATAAAATATCATCGAAGGTTTCAATTAGAACCAACCAATGAAACAAAATAATAGATGCTAAGATAATTTGAGAATGGTCAAAATAATGAATGTATCAAAGCTTTGTAGGCTACTTAGGAATTGCATTGGAAGATTCTCAAAAGTTAAAACAATTCTTTCTTGATTAAATCAAGAAAATTATGACATGCGAAGAAAATTTTTTTGTTACATAAATTAAAAAAAACTAAAGGTATGATAGAGTCAAAAATGAGCAAAAAAGTTATTGCCTCAAGTCATTATTTCGCATAAATGAGAAGATCATTGACAGAGAAATCTGATTATATATGGCTATTTTATTAGAAAAATATATTTGAAGATTCATTTCAGAATAGAAAGTCCTTATTTTTTTGTAACAAATGGCCAAAATCACTGTAATGAAAAGCTTATTGATGAGTTTATTCATTATCCTTATACAGATTATGACAACCAAACATTATAAGATAATCAATTATTTGCTAAAGTATGATCAAGATATAATGTAGTTATCTTTATGTCAAAGTGACAGTGTGAATCCAACTACAAATGATGCAATGACCCTCCTTGCTGTCTCCCGTGTCCCCTACAGCAGCAAAACCCTTTTTTTATTCGCCCCCTCAATTTTTGTGATAATAATTTAATGGCACTAACGAACGTTTTTTTATTTTTTTATGTTTTATTTTCCTTTGATGCTTGGGATCCTCTTCTTGGCCTTGTGCTCAAACTGAGGTGTTTGAAATGACCAAAAGACTTGTTTCTTGGCTGGCTTTCAATTATTTTTTTAGGAATGTGTGTTTACTTGTTTAACATCTGAACTTTGAATTTTACAATCATACCACTAAGCCTTGTTGTTGAGAATTTTAGGGCAAAGAAACCCATAAATTGACGCAAATTTAGAAAGAAACACATAGATTTAACGAGATTCGACAAAGATGTCTACGCCCTCGGGAGCAGAGCGACGGTTTTTCCTTCAAGAAAAAATACAAGATCCCGTTAGAGTTACAGTATAACACATATATATAACCCTGACGTACAATATGTAATTACAAAATTACCCATGTACCGTACCGCGGGGGGTGTTGCCTCCACACCCCTCAACCCACAACAGAAAACTCCTCCAATTGGACAGATGTTTTTGCTCCACTCCACTCGCTCGCTCCGTTCCACTTCAGTATTTGTCCCTTATCTGGTATATGAGTCATACCTAACGCTTGTGTAGCTCTCTTTATCATTTGAATTGCATGGTTTTTATGAGGAAGACTTACCACTCAATTCTTATGTATTTATATATCTATCAGCTAAAAATTTATTTTCATGGAAAGGTGTATTTTATTTTCTTAGATAAATAATGATATTTTAGATGTGATGTAAAAAATTTGGAGGTTATAAATGTAAAAAATAAAGTTTAGGTATTAGATATATAAATACATAAGAATTGAGTGGAATGTTTGTGAATCTTCTTCACATACATACCTCTCCATTTTTATGTATTTACACATCTATCATTTAAACTCAATTTTTATACATGTCATATTATTTATATAAGAAAAATAGTATTTAATTTTTTAAAAATTAAAGTAAGAATATTTAAAATGTGATAAGAAAGATTTGAATGTTATAAATATAAAAAAATAAAGTTCAGATGCTACAAATATAAATACATAGGAGCTGAGACATATGTATGTAAATCTTCCTTTCTTTTATAATATCCAAATGAAATCTCCTGGCTTTCATGGTTTATATAGAGCGAAGAAGATGGAGTACAAGCAAACAGAGTGTTTTGTTATTCTTCGACAGTCTATAGTCTCTATGCTCTTCCCTACTTCCTGCACCAGTTTCTCTTTCAACAGGTACGCACAATAAAGGAGCCTCCTTTCATGAGAAATCTATCTACTTCTCCCATTCCGCTCTCTTGCTTAGATTATTATATTAAAACCTTACTGGTTCTGGTTAATGATTGATGAATTAATGAAGTCTTCCTCTCTTGGCTTACATGCATGCATGTTTGGAACGCTGAGAGTTTTGGGTTGAAGTTAACTCAATATTGTTAATGAATGATAGCAAATGCAAGCAAATAAGTATAGTTTACTGTTAGTAACTCAACTCTTTTATCAGTTTTTAAGTGAGATTAATGTGATGCTAACATAAAGTTTTTTTTTTTTTTTGGCTGTTGTTAAGGTAAGTGAGAGTATTGGATGATTAAAAAATTAAGTTGATGTCAAAGTACCAAGGGATCGGCTCTCACTTATAGGAATAAATATTACGTGTGGCGATCACATGTCTGGATGACGGTCCGGATGGACTGTCGTGAGATACACGGTGGCGTGACTCCATCCAGACTATCGTTTAGACGTGCAGTCCGCCGCACGTAATATTTTCTTCACTTATAAGTTGGGGTGTGCATTATTTAATTTAAACTGAAAAATTGAACTTGATGAGTATAGTAGTTTAAACTGAAAAATACAGCCACACACACACATCTAAGTAATTATGTTTAATCTCTCATTTTCTCCTTATGTTTTTATTTGATTCTTGTCTTTACGTTGATAAACTTACATTTTATCTCTTCTCTCATTTATAGTAACTCAATTCCTATGTCACTTTCTTGGCATACTTGTGATTTCTAATAGTACTTTTTAACTAAAACATTATTTAATTTATTTTGGCAGGGAAAGGGAAATTGATCACAGTTGAATGATCTACTTTGCATTTATGGAAAATTTCAATTAATTGAATCATATACAAGAAGAAATATGTTTTCTTGTGTTAGTTTTATCTCAAATTATGTGTGAAGTGCATGAAGCAGCTATTAAGCTACAGAGTGTGTGTGAGAGCAATCGAACAAGAAGAAATCTGGCAGATTGTGCAGCAGTAGTTGAGGAGCTCAGGTTGGTTCAATTTTTTCAGTTTTGACCTTTGAATTTCTTATGCTGCTGCATTCAGCATTGGCTTATGTATTTTTTCTGTAAGTTTCTCTTATTACAGGTGGAGGGCTTTGGATTTCGCTTCTCTGAAGCGCAGCTCTGTAACATTTTTCGATGATGAGAAGCCGGAGAGCACAGCTTCACGTTGGGCCAGGGCCAGGATGAGAGCTGCGAAGGTAATGGCAGCAACAAAATTATTATTTATTAATGATATGAAATCCTTCCAGCATTTTGTTATTATATTACTTAAAATCATGTATCATTCGTCTTATAAACCTTGCAGGTTGGGAAGGGCTTGTCAAAAAGTGATAAAGCTCAAAAATTGGTACTGCAACACTGGTTGGAAGCTGTGAGTTCTCTGTATCCTTCTCTGTGAAATTTTTTGTTGTTTTGACTTAGGTTGTCAAAAATTGACCCGGTAAGCCAATTTGATCTGACTTCGACTCGAAAAATTTGGGTTTGGGTTGACTGGAATAATTTTTACATTGGGTTTGGGTTAGGAATTCGAACATGTTTAATTTTTCAGGTTTAGTTCTGGTTAAACTGCCAACCCGAAATTAACTCGAATCAAACCTGTTAACTGAAAATCGACCCGCCAACTTGAGGTTGACCTGAAAATCAACCAAGACTAAGGATACTACAACCTTGAGTAGACTCTCCATCTACTTGTAACTCATTTTCTCTTAACTATGGTTTATATTTTTCTCCTTTGCCTATGATTTTCCCAGTCTTGGAATCGCCATGTAAATTTGCTTGTTATTTCTCGATTCATCAAACCAATTTTATAATGATTGTGTACAGATAGATCCGAGACATCGGTATGGGCATAATTTGCAATTTTATTATGATGTCTGGTTTGAAATTGAGAGCACCCAACCATTTTTCTACTGGCAAGTATGTGCCCCTTAGTCATTCTTCTTTCCAAATGCATAAATTTCTAGCAGGCTATCTGACTTCCTCTACAACAATGAAGGCTGGATGTCGGATATGGTAAAGAATTTAGTCTCAAAAAATGACCAAGAATCATTCTTCAGCAGCAGTGCATCAAATATCTCGGGCCAGTATGCTTCTGAAGCTTTCATGTTCTTTCTTAATATATTGTAAATATTCTGATTTGATATGATATTACAGAAGGAGAGGAAGGCGTACGAAGTAACAATTAACGATGGGAAATTTGTTTACAAGCAAACTAAGTTGGCAGTACATACTGCTGATGGTGCAAAATGGATGTTTGTGTTAAGTTCACACGGGGCTTTATATGTGGGACAAGTATGCAATAGATCGGATTGTTTCTCATATCCATCCTTCTCTTTTGCAAGCAGAAGAAGAAAGGCATATTTCATCATTCAAGTTTTCTGGCAGGTGGAGCCACCATTGCTGCAGGAAGGTTGGTAGTCAATAATGGTTTCTTGGAGGTATCTGAAATAAGTCAACAAATAAAATTTAGCAGACTAGCAGAGATAAAAGATCATTTTTTTAATTTTTCACTAATAGTACTGTGTCTGTTATAGGCTACTTGGCCACACAGTGGTCACTACCTCCCAACAGAAGAAAATTTTAAGGAGTTCATAAACTTCCTAGAGGAGAATAATGTGGACCTCAGCAATGTTAAGGTCTTCAACATCATCTTCAACAAAATTAAATTATTTGAACACTAAATCTATCTAATTTTTAATTGAATATTCTCTCTTAATTTATGCAGACATGTTCCATTGAAGTGGATGAGCGTTCTCTCGAACATTCTTCATCATTTAAGATGTTTATTAATGAGGAAGCATTGATGACCATGGATGCACAGGAGGTAGAGAAGTGTCAAACGGTGACAGAGTTGTAGAAAGAGTCATTTTGTTCTTATTATGTGGAAGATAACATTCATATGTAATCTTTTTGACATGCACATTTGTAAAATAGAAGTGTACATATTCAACTTTCTTGATTATCTCTTTTGTTTGTGTTGTCAAATGAGTAATTTGATGATATTTTTTTTAGTAAATGAACAAAGTGTTTTATATAAAATTGTAGATAACTGAGGATTGCAATAACAAGTATATGTTTTCCCCTTTGATCTGGTGTGATGAAATTTCTTACTAGCTGTAATATAAAGATTGGGATCACATTTTGTAACAGTTTCTTGTATTATTTTCACTAATCGAGAGTTATAAATATGTAATTTCATTTTTCTTCAGAAGCAAAAGAGAAATAAGGTTTAGAGAATTTGATGCTATGTGAATATCCTTAGGACCACAAAGTATATTCTCTCTTTTACATATTAAAATCCCTTTGGTTATTTGTAGATATAAAATATGTTTTAGAATAAAGAGATAAAGTATTTTCTCAAGGACAAACTAGTTGAGTTTTTAATAGAGCTTTAAATTAAATGTATGCCTGAAATAAATACCTTAATAAGATACATTAGTGGCTAAGACAATGTTGGTGCTTTTTATTAAATTTCTGAAGATTTTGATGAGAAGGTAGTGTCATATCAGCCTCAAAGACATTTGGAGTGATTCTTGACTAATGCATCCCAAGATTGATCTGATTACTCCAAAATAGGGCCTAATTGTTTTAGAAGGATTGGTCATCACCTACTCTCTTAAATGAATATAAATGTTTGAAATGCCCAAATTTCCCTATAACTAATGAGGAAATTGATATCTCCACTAACGTTGTTAGTTATTAACTTAATATACATGCATAAATTATAAGATGAGATGGGTATCAAACTTTTTTTATGATAGCTTGAAAACAGACTAGGAGGTTTTATAAGCTAGATTGGTTTGCATTGGGTTGGTTGTTATATAAGGTAACACATGAACATTTAATTGTCATACTAGCATAAAGTAATATTTAGTCTTTTTGAAAATAAATCGGTCCAGAAGAGACAGAAATAAAAGAAAATTATAAGATATTCATCTCTCTGATTTCAAAGTTATCATCTCAAAAAAACAAAAGTAACTATTGAGATCTTCTAAGAGATCTTCTAATATGATAATTTTTTTTTTTTTTTTTAATTCTCTTGTCTTATGACTATATCTTCTATGCTACTTCTCTTCTGCTATGTTCAAGAGACTTAAGACTTTTCTTTCGTTTTGTGAGCAAGGGTGTACTTAAATCTTTGGAAGGATGAGTGAATATCTCGAGTGGCATTTTTACGAGATATAAGTTTTTGAAAGAGTTGATGAGTGGCCTTTTAATATGCACCATGATTATGAATTATTTATTAGTAGATCAAACTATCTATTTACTCTATGAGCATATTGATTTGTTTAGGTTGAACCATTTAAGTTTGATATTCATTTCATAATATTTGATCTTTTTTGAAGTTTTTTTTTATAGTTTGTCATGCTTGCATCTGAGTTGTTGTTTGCATAGTATAAACAACACATTGCTATTCTAAAATGGTTTAATTAAATCAATTTGCTTTGTAATTCTGCATACATTTAACTCAATAAATGACCGTCAATTATGCTCAATGAGCTAACAGGCCAAATTTGATCTAGCTTTGATTCAACTCATTTGTTTCTAGCAATCTAATTTTAAAAAAAAATCTAAAATGCACATAAAAATAGTTTAGTGCAAATCATTCTAATTTTATTTCTTGTCTCAACTAATATATCATTATTTTGCATCCATTCTTATCACTTTTATCATTATAACCTTAAGTTCTTATATTGAAAATATTTTATTTAATTATAAATGAGAGTCACCTCATGCTTGCCAGATAGAGTTTGAGCTTAAACTTAATTAATTAGAATTGGACAAAGATCAGAATTTTGAATAATTTAATTATGTATAAATGAGGTTAGATGTAGAAGTTGTTTAATCTTTTTAAGATATATGTTCCTATATTATTCATGAGTTCGTACAACCCAGTAAAGATTTTATTTTTAGAAGGAAGGGATCTTCCCTGAATCTCTAGGGGAGGAAGAAATAGTGCTTTGGGAGGAAGGGGTTTTAGTTCGAGTCCTCGAAAGAGTAGAATGAGCCTTCCCATTTCTCCATCTCTCCCTATACATAAGGGAATATAAATAATTATAAAATTATATCAAGTACAATATTGTGGTTGTTCATGACGTCTCAAAGAAAAGGTTGTGACGTGAGTGTCAGGCGACACCGCAAATATGAATGGACTTATGTGCTTCAATGTAATTAATGATGGTCTTCTGCTCTAGTTGGTCTACTACGGGCTAGTTCGCCCACTTCGGCAGGTGGGCTCAGTTCGAACACTTCAATAGATGGGCTCAGTTCGATAACTTCGAACGGGTGGGCTCAACTCGAAAGTACACTTGCCTCTATTTGGGTATAGAGAAGCATGTGATAAAATTAAGTAATATTTACGTGCCAAAACAAAAGAATTATTTGGTTGCTGAGTTGCAGCTTGCAAGATGCGTACGTTTCTTTGGTCATTGTTCTCCACATGTAAGATAGTGAAATAGAATATATGCCAACTAAATTAAGCATCATCCTTCTGAGGAGGCATTAATATTTAATTAAGAAAATACTGTCCAACTTTTAAATATTATCATTTAATTTTTTAAAAACTGAAATATAATTTTCCATGCATAGATAAGGTGGTATTAGGTAAAAATTGAAATATAGGTGTTAGATTTGTGGATACTCAAGAGTTGAGTGGTATGTATGTAAATAATCCTCTTTTAAGAGAAAAGTTGTTTCATACGGATATATCAGGTGATCTACGGTCAGGATGTATTTCGGTGGGCCCCACTTAAATTTTTTTTTAAAAAAAAAAACTGTACTGTCAGGATTGGACACTACATACAGAGATGCATGCGGTGTCCGTATGCAAAAATTTCTTCTTTTAAGGGGCATGTATTTTACTATCACATAAATCTTTTATGTCACATCAAAATATAATCATTTTAATTGTAAGAAGTGACATTGACCTTTTGATTGTAATATCTGAATTATCGTGTTGCCTTCTCATGAATATAGTAGAAAATAGTGAAAAAAATAGGCATCCATATCATGTGTTTTTGAAGATGTAACATATACATTTAATTAGTTGTGATGATAATATAGAATGCATCTATATTATGAATTAATTACCCACCCTAACCTCTACTTGAAAGAATAAGAAAGAAAAGTAGTTTAACATAGTAGATAATGATTAGAAAGAGATTAAAATTAAAATTAAGGGCATATTTATAGTTTGAATTCTTCAGTACTTTGGTAAGATGAGTACTTAAACCTAAAATTTTAGGATTCTTCATTTGATATCCAACTAATGTGTTATACATTCGAACATTGAATTATTCCATATATATGGTTTTTTTTTTAAATAACTTTGCATAATCTATGACTCAAGGTTATAAAAATTAACATTTCTAAATCATGTGTATTTCATGGCATTAACTTTTTTCCTTATTGTGATACTCGTATTATTAGAATTAGTTTAAAGGGATAACTCCATGTATATTTTTCATTTTTTCAAATTTTCATAGAATAAGTCTCGTGTCTCGTAGGAGCTACTTATTAATTGATACCTGTGCAAAATCCTTGTACAATACTAAAATGAAAAATTTCTATTGCTTTAAATATTCTAACATAGAATATTTTTAATTGAAACGATAAATATATAAAAAGAGTTACAAAGATCACAATGTTTTATTTATAATAAAACTGATCAGGATATGAGATTCAGGCCCATGTAGATGCAAAAACCCAAAATAGATCAGTGATTTATGTTATCACTTGCCCAATCGACATATGCATATGCACTTAAAAGCATATAGCCATAAATAATGGGAAGTCCATGATGAATGGTCCATTTTAAATACCAAAGAAGTATTTTTAATTTTTGATAATGTATGAGATTAGGTTGATGCATGTGCTGACTTAAATAATTGACTGTGAAGGTCATGCCTTGGCGGGTAAAGGTAAGGTATTGGAGCGAGCCAATATTTTTTCTATACTGGTCCTGGCCTGGCATGGGTGTTGAAATATTAGATTGTTTATGATGATTGGTAGGAAGAGGAGTTAAGACGGGTTTGACTTGAGACATGCTAATTTTATTCAAAAGTTTAGTTTGGTTTAAAAGTACTCTTGAGAGATTTTGTAAATGTGTAACCCAAGAAAGTGAGACATCGAACCTAGTTGTTTTAGATTAAATTGAGTACTCAAAGTGTATATTAAATTATGAGAGTTGCAATGGAGTTTCTAGTGATTAATATGTCATCCACATAATCAAGGAGATAAATGTAAAAGTGACTGTGATTATAATAAGTAGAGATGGATCAACAGTGTTTAAAATAAATTTTTTATTATATAAATACTTGCAAAACATGGAATATCGCTGTCGGGGAGCTTGCTTAAGCCCATAGATAGATTTAACTTACCCACATAATGAGGGTAAGTATTATCTATGAAACCAGGCGGTCAAGACATAAAAACAGTGTCATCTAGTTTACCATATAAAAAAAAGCATTGGAAACATTAATTTGCATATTTTTTCATTTTTTTTTGAAGTGGCAAAAGCAATGAGAAGCCTAGTGGTGGAAAATTTTGCAACAAGACTAAAAGTTTCATTATAGTTAATAACTTGTTGTTTAAACCCTTACAAAATTAACCTAGCTTTGTAACGAGCAATGGATTCATTAGCAAAATATTTAATTTTAAATTTCCATTTGCATCCTACTATATTTTGTTTTGTAGAAGGGGGAACAAGTGTATGTTCCCTGCTGTTGAAGAGCCATAAATTCTGCTGACCAGTAAAAATCTTGGATAGCTTGCTTATAAGTGCTTGCTGGTTCCAATATGCTCTATTCAGTACCTTTTTGCTCCTTTTTAACTCAGCTTCGCTCCATGTGTCCTACCTGTTATACCTACAAGAAAAACATTAGAATATCCTTATTTAAAGTGCAGTTTCATCCAAAAATAAATGTAAAAGACAAATGAATTTTAGCATGTTGAAAGACATATCAGATATGTGTTTCAGATTTGTTCTTTAGAGAAGTGCACCAACAGAACTTGGAGTATGAATCAACGAAAGTTACATAATATTTCAATTCTTCTATCAAAGTTTGGGGAAAAGGACTCCAAATATCATAATGCAATATCTCTAAAATATCATAAGTAGAGTAGAACTGCCAGAAAAATGTAATTTGGGATTTTAATTTTGGTTACAATCAGTACATGGGTGAAAATAAAGGAATTTTAAGATGTGGAAAAGAATGAGGATGACCAAAACTTTGGTGTCATATGTTTGAACTAGTAATAGTGATGAGAGTTTTCATCGCGTATAAGCCTTGATTAGTAGTTCCAAAGAGGAGAATTTTTTTGGTTGCAAGATCTTGAATCTAGAATTTGTGAGCACAAAATAGCTTGATAGTTATTGTCTTGAGTGAGTTTGTGAACAAAGATAAGATTGTGAGTAAGATGAGGGAATCTAAACAATGGTGAGAGTTTAAGCTTACTGCTAGGGTTTGAAAGAGTATCATATCCAACATGTGTAATTTTACTTTGTCCATTACTTTCAACCATTTGTTTTGAGTCATTGTACGTAGATGGTTGGTGTAGATTATCCAAATGAGGAGTAATATGAGCTATTGCACCCTTGTCTAGTACCCAATCCTGAGATTGAGCTAAGCTGAATTTGGCTGTCGAGAGTTGTGGGTCGAGGTGTGGATGTTGTTTTATAATGAAGGTGGGTATGGTTCCAACAATTACTTGTCAAGTTACCTTTATTCTTGCAAATTTTTCATATGATGTGTGGTTTTGGTTTTGTCAAGTTGTTGTTTTGATGTTTGTTGTGTGAGTTATTGTCAAAATTTCTTAAATTATGATAATATATGTAACTAGTGTAGTATGTTAGATGTTTTTGTTGTATTCGTTGGCTCGACTGCATTCCTCACTATGCAATAATGAATACAAATCCTCAAGACTAATCTGATGCATTTGGGTTATGATAGTTGTTTTAAAGTCTTGATAGCTCAAGGGAAAACCATTTAAGATGTAAAGAATGATGTCCTCATTATCAATTTGAAGCCTGCGGTTACAATATGATCCACTAGGTTCTTAATGACTATGAGATATTGACTCAAAGTGTTGGCTCCCATAGTGATATTATGTAGTTCGTTCTTGAGCTATATAATTTAAGTCTATTTGTGGATTGAATGTTTTTTTTCTAGACTGTGCCATATCTCTGATGTATGAGTAAAATGAAGAATGTATGAGATGATAGAAGGAGAGATGGTAGAAAATATTACAACAACGAGGTTCTGATCGATAAGTTGCAAAGATGATAGTCTTGATTTTTAACAGAATTTCCTGTCTCATCTTGAATGAACCTTGGAGGGGGGAAATTGTGTTATCTAAAAAGAATTCAAAATTATTAGCAATAAGCAATTTAGAGATCTGAACTTTTCATGCCAAATAATTTTCTTGAGTTAATGGAGTGATGGCCACATTTTTTATGTGTGATATCAGAAACTTTAACGAATTAATTATGTCGGTCTCCTTTATCTTTTGAAATTAATGTAACGGGTTGCTTGTTGTCTTGTGTTGATGTTGAAGAGTTTGATTCCATAATGTTGTAAAACTGGCAGCTTTGATACTATAAAATGGAAGAAGAGGAAGAAAAGGAAAATCGTTTAAGGAAGAAGAAAAGGAAGAAGAGGAAAAACATTGGAGAGAAGCCTGAAAAAGCTAAGTAACAAATTTCATACAACCCTTCTATATTATATTTCTCATTGTATAATACACAAAAATATATAAACTTGTTACATGGCAAACTTGTAGATTAGTAAAAGGGCAAAATGACTTTACACTACACATTACACCATAAAGGAAACTAATATAAAAACTTACTTTCTATACAGAAAATCTCTAAACAGAGAGCATGAAATAAACCCCTGCAGACGACACCGAGAAGTCTAGAGCTGATCCAGAGAAGCCTCAGTGATCAGAAAGGAGATAAATGGAGAGCTGAGATTTAGGAGTTTTTTAGTAATTATATCGAAGTTGATTTCAAATTTCGAAAACTCTATTTATTTATTATGTCTAGATCATCATTTAGAAAACTCACTTTCTTTACAGCTACAACCACCTCAAAACAAGACATAAATTAAATTATAAAATCTCTCCACAATATCTTTCCAACAACATTTACAAAAAATTTCAACCAACATAAATTTACACATAAATTTAAGGGGGAAAAAGCCATTTCAGGAAGATATATAAACTTTTTATTTTAACAAATTATTATTTGAAAAGTCAATTGCAACTATTTGAGAGAGTGGTTGTGTAGCAAAAGTATTGTAAGAAAATTGTTGTTCATGAAGCAATGTATATGTATGAAAAATTAAGTTATAAATATGTTGTATTGCAATTATTTAAAAAAATTAAAATTAAAATACCCTTAAGTGTATGTGATAGTCATAAGTGAACAGTTTCAGAAGTACTTAATAAAGACTACCAAAGCAGGAAAAAAAATGCTTATGGTGGCAAGAAAGATCCTTTGAAGAAATACGTACCCACTGCAAGGCAACACAAATGAGATATGTACGTAAAAAACAAAGATAAATTGCTTGCATGTACATAAAAATTTGAGTGATATTTGCAAGCATGTACTATCGTTTTCACATCATTTGCTTCCTTTAAGAACCAGCTTCATAGAATAATGATATTATATTATAATCACGAATTAAATTTATTATCTCCCAATGAAAAAAAAAAAATATTGCATCAGTACTCCTCACATAGAGTTATGTTTAGAGTCCAATGAAATCACGTCACGTGGAAATAACAGAAAAAAAAATTAGTCCGTTAATACAGAATATTCCTCCAGAATTATTTCGTGTTATTCAGGTGTTATTGTGTGTTAGTCAGGTGTTATTGTGTTCTAGGAAAAATTCTCGGTCTTATAATAACACTTGAATAACAAACAATAATACCTGATAATACACAATAACATCTAAATAATACAGGAAGAATATTCTCTTGTGTTACCGATCAAATTTTATTTTATTTTCTTATTATCATCACATTGCGTGATTTCATTGGATTCTGCAGTTAACTCTATGTGCGGAGCACTGATGCAATATTTTTTTTTCGAATAAAAATAAAAAAATAAAAAAATAAAAAAAAAAGACTGACCGTGCATCAAATTTTAATTCTAGAATGTATCCAATCACCGCAAATGCGTCGTTTCGCATAATTTATTTTACGAACCGCTTGTCCTTCTCAAACAAATTTCCGCAGAGAACAGCGGTCCACTAAAAACCACTTCGTGGTTTACGTCTGCGAGCGCGTCGCATATCCAACTGTTTATCGCTCTTCACACCTCCCGGTCCACTAAAAACCACTTCGTCGTTGATGTCTACGAGCGCGTCGCATGCGACGGCCACCATCCAACCGTATATCGCTCTTCACAGCTTCCAATAAAAACGAGCCTTTTTAAAAAAAAAAAAAATTCCCGTTGCTCAACTCCCTCCTCTCGCACTTCCGTTCGAATTTCAAATAACAAACGGCTTCGCACGTTCTCTTCGTCCCCATTAGACCGCTTCATTCCGCGATTTTTTTTTCACCGTTTTCTCCCTGCTTCCACCATCTCTCCACTCTCAAACATAAAGCTGCTATTTTTAGGTATAAAGGAGAGATTTTGTGAAATGGTTGGTTCTGGGAAGTGGATAAAGTCGTTGATTGGCCTCAAGAAGCAGGAAAAGGATGAACTTGTAAGCAGATCGATTCGTCCATCACACTATTCCATTAGGTTTATATGCTTAAAATTTTGATTTTCGTGTTTATTGGTTCTGAAGGAGAAGACTTGCAGTGGAGCCAGCGGAGATAAGAGCAGAAAATGGAAGAATCTATGGAAGAGTTCCTCCACCGATTTTGGATTTGTGTGGAGGGGTTCAAAGGGAGGCAGCCGCCGGTCCGCATCAGAGGCTTCCGAAACTTCTTCAGTGGCCACCGTGGACGCCTTAACTGCCGCCATGGCTGCAGTTATCCGTGCTCCTCCCAAAGATTTTCTAGCCCTCCGTCAGGAGTGGGCTGCCATAAGAATACAGACCGCTTTTCGTGGTTTCCTGGTATGAAATCATCTCTATCTTTCTCTTACACACACACAGAGGGTTCAAATGCTTAAAGTTCGGATTTTTAGGCTAGAAGAGCTCTGCGGGCGCTGAGAGGGATTGTTAGGCTTCAGGCCTTGGTTCGGGGTCGTCAGGTTCGCAAGCAGGCCGCAGTGACCTTACGGTGCATGCAAGCTCTTGTTCGAGTTCAGGCCAGGATTCGTGCTCGACGAGTGAGGCTTTCAACCGAAGGGCAGGCTGTGCAGAAGATGCTCGAGACCAGGCGCACCAAAATGGATCTCTTGAAAGAAGCAGAGGTAGTCTAATCTGCACGCATTCACTCAGAACTGGTAGATAATTGATTCTCTATTGCGTTTCTTCTGTTGCTCATATTCAGGAAGGCTGGTGTGATAGTCAAGGTACACTAGAACAAGTGAAAGTGAAGTTACAGATGAGGCAAGAAGGTGCTTTCAAGAGGGACAGGGCAATGGCTTACTCCCATTCTAAACAAGTACTTCTTTCTCTTCGATGTTTTGTTAATCTTTGTATAGAGATTGTTGGCACATAAATGTTTCATCTTTGTACTCAGAAATGTAGGTATTCCTCAACTGGAAGGTCAAATCACTCCCTTGCTTCGATGAAGCTGCAAGATTTAGGCAAGAATAATGTCAACTGGAGCTGGTTAGAGCGGTGGATGGCAGCAAAACCATGGGAAAATAGGTTGATGGAGCAGCAGGTTGCCCATACAGAGCCATCTGAGGCTCAATCTCTCAAGAACACTGAAGATTTCCACGGCGCATGTTCGAAGCTGTTCGATTCCAGTTCCAAGACTTCTGAAAGTTGTTTGATCAGAGTCAAGAAGAACAGTGTAACCAAAAGGATTTCAGTGAAACCTGCACGTACTGTGAAAAACAACAACCATCATCAAGCTCGGTCTTCTTCATCACCAAGTTATGATTTTCACTACGATGAGAGTTCTCCATCATCTTCTTCCTTCTGCACATCAACCCCAACATCTGCAACAACAATCCTAGCTTCACGAAGAACAGAGGAGATCTGCGGAAGCAAGCCAAGTTACATGAACTTGACTGAATCAATCAAGGCAAAGCAGAGGAATTCATCTGCTCAGAGAACAAGAATGCATAAGCAGTCTTCTTTTCATAAGAAGACACCATCCTACATTGACATGAAGAACAGCGACTCTCTTGATCCTGCATTCAGTTCTTCCAGCTTGTTGAATGGTGGTATGCCATTAAGGGAGAAGAGCTGTGCTAGGAGCGTCGGCAAGGAAAACTGCTGCTATGAATAATTTTAATTTAATTTTTTGGTGCGCTTTCAATTTGTCAACTGCTTGTTGTATTATGTGATTGGTTTGTTGTAAAATTTGTTTTATATTGTATTTGTGCAAGAACTGGGAACAAGTAGGGACATGTTTTGCCTAATTTAGTGTATTTCTTCGCGTTCAAAACTGGATCTTTGTTGGCTTAAAGTAAGCTGATTTTCCTGTTTTAGCTGTTTGCTATAGCTCACAGCAGGACTTGTTAAGGGTAACCTTGATTTTGCCAAAAATGTTTTTAGAATTTTATGTATTGGTTTGTGGACTTTTTCTAATGTCATCAATCATTGTATCCTACAATAATTAGCATATAAAGTTTGATTTATTTTATATTAAGATTGTAATTATGACGGCACATTATCTGCTTTTTTTTATCTAGCCAAAGACTTAATTGGACATAGGATAGGATTGTGAATTTAGCTCAAAGATTGTTAATCCATTGATGATTAATTTGAATTTTGGTTAGGATTGAAATAAACGAGTTGAGCTATGAGCCTGAACTTCGGATCTAATTTGAATGGAACGATTCGTGAGCTAATTTCAAGCAAGAACGAATTCAAATAACACAATTTGAGCTAGTAAGTTTCAATTGTTTGAATAAGAAAAGTAAAAATATTTTATCGCATCGAATTCCTTCAAGTGGGGTCTATCCATTAGAATCAGTGCTCCCTTCTTTGTTTGGGCCAAGACCTCTCTCACAAGCTCTGGTCTCAACAAGATGGATCTCAACAAACTCTTCGTCCATATAATATGTCGGGTCATAATCCTCATCATTAGTATCATTCCTCTGTTCTTTTGTTAATTGTGTAATATTCAATTAAGCTATGAACGAATTCAAATAACACAATTTGAGCTAGTAAATTTCAATTGTATGAATAAGGAAAGTAAAAACATTTTATCGCAGCGAATTCCTCCAAGTGGGGTCTACCCTTTAGAATCAGTGCTCCCTTCTTTGTCTGGGCCAAGGCCTCTCTCACTTGTTGTTCCACCATATGCTTAATGTCTTTTTCTGGTATCATACCTTGGGCGGGATTTTTCTTCGGTTGTTTCTCCATGTTGGCAGATGTAGATTCTTTCTTATCGTATGCAATCTTAACGACCTCCTACTGATTTGTTTCACCGTGGGCTAGGTGTGGAGACTGAGGTTGACTCTATATAGTTGATACAACAATCATTATTTCTTCCATCCTTTTCTCCATGTGACCGATCTGCTCGTCTTTATCCTGGATCACTCACTGTAGTATCTCGATAACAACCTCTCCAGCAATCGAAGGGGCATCTCGTAGAGATGAAGATGCTCTGGTCTCAACAACATGGATCTCAACAAACTCTTCGTCCATATAATATGTCGGGTCATAATCCTCATTATTAGTATCATTCCTCTGTTCTTTGGTTAATTGTGTAATATTCAATTAAGCTATGAACGAATTCAAATAACACAATTTGAGCTAGTAAATTTCAATTGTATGAATAAGGAAAGTAAAAACATTTTATCGCAGCGAATTCCTCCAAGTGGGGTCTACCCTTTAGAATCAGTGCTCCCTTCTTTGTCTGGGCCAAGGCCTCTCTCACTTGTTGTTCCACCATATGCTTAATGTCTTTTTCTGGTATCATACCTTGGGCGGGATTTTTCTTCGGTTGTTTCTCCATGTTGGCAGATGTAGATTCTTTCTTATCGTATGCAATCTTAACGACCTCCTACTGATTTGTTTCACCGTGGGCTAGGTGTGGAGACTGAGGTTGACTCTATATAGTTGATACAACAATCATTATTTCTTCCATCCTTTTCTCCATGTGACCGATCTGCTCGTCTTTATCCTAGATCACTCATTGCAGTATCTCGATAACAACCTCTCCAGCAATCGAAGGGGCATCTCGTAGAGATGAAGAAGCTCTAGTCTCAACAACATTGATCTCAACAAACTCTTCCTCCATATAATATGTCGGGTCATAATCCTCATTATTAGTATCATTCCTCTGTTCTTTGGTTAATTGTGTAATATTGGCTCTAAGTTGTTCCAAGGCATCTTCAATTGATTTCCCTTTAACAGCTTTAAGGTCAGTCGGAGGATCCTAACAAACACTTCTTCCTGTATCGAGTTTTGATGTAGTCATGGTACTGGCAGTTGGAATCTCAAACTTAAAATCTTTCTCAGGGAGATGGTCCCTTGACTTTTCTCGTTGTACCGGTCTGACAACCGAAAGTTTCCATTAATTCTCCTTTGAATTTGATGTTTTGAGACGGGTCGTCTCGTTGGTAACGTCGGCCTGTCGGGAGGAAGCGTGGTCCCTGGAGTGCAAACCAGATACGATAACGAGTTGTCCTTTGTCATCATTCATTCCTGAGGCTTTTCATACACGGTGATTGGTGGAATTCTTGAACGTAGGCGAGATTTGACCTATCTACGCTATGCAGGCTTCAGGGAGGTGGTAGTAATGTTGGTTTCGGTGTCGGCAGTAACCATACGCTCTCTAAGATAGAGTTTGACAGAAATACGTGGTGGTGGTGCATCTCCTCTTAAGACGGCTCTATGAAATTGTGCAGATTTATACTTTTTCAAAATCTCAGCTTTCATCTAGTGTGATACCGCGCAGCCCATTCTTTTCAAGTTTTCGGTGACAGAACAGTGCTATTTATGGGCTAATCTCTCAAAGACAGAGTGGACTTGAGTAAGAGGTGTGGGTTGTACCTTTATCTTATCATGGCCATTATGACGAGATGGTGAGGGCAACGTAGCAGCAATTTAATAAACACCTACCTTCTTGAAAGCGACAGGCAGATGGTGAAACTTGCTCCCCTTAAGAAGACGTGATGTCTCAGGCAACCCTGTTCCTTCTGGATGGGGAGCTCCTTCAACAAGAATTTTTTTTGCAGCTTTTGCCTTCTTGGCTTTAAGAATCTGTCAGTTTCATTTCTTCCCCACTCTTGTCAACCCGATTTCAAGCACAGATGGTATCGAGGCCTCAACTGACTCTTATTCTTACAAGATCTCTTTTCCCTTTAACGGCAATGGGGCAATCAAGGCATTGACAATAAATCCAATGACAGTCAGAGTGAAAAACCTCATGGTAGTGGAAGCGACAGGTTTGACAGGAGCGAGGAAAACAGACGTAAAATGTGTCTCTGTGACTTTTGTCTACTTGAGTGTAGAGAACTCTTGGCTACACTTCAGCTACTCCTTGATATAAGGACAAATGGAAATTTCGTAGTGGGGCTAATTGTTGTTGGCCCAGAATTAGGCTGGCCAAGTTGGTAGGCATGCTGCGATAAACTATTGGGTGACCGTCCTAAAGATGATGTTGAATATACCATCCCAGACACCATAACATTACATCAAAATTCTTTATGGGACTATCTTGTGCACAGGTCATGGTTCCACTGTGTTGGCTATATTGGTGATGCTATAGGGATTCTTATATGATATTAACGAATCGTGAATTTTTGTGTGATCTTAGGGCGTACATCTTATTTTTGATTCGGTGTTTCCTAGTTACAGATACATCCATATCACATGTATGCATTGAATATTTATCTTTATTGAAAGATGTGGATAAATTTAGACGATTTGGGTGGCACAGTTATTGTATTCCTTTGTAGAGAATTGACACTGTCTACCAAGCCTTCCCGTTTCGCAATCGGTGGATGACTGTATCTGCTTCAAACATAGGCATGGGAGCCTTTACATGTTGGTCGGACAACTCTTCATGTTTCAGTTCCCTAGAAAATAACGAGTAAATCTCTCAGGTTTAGGTACAAAATTATTTTCTCACATTAAAACTAAACACACTAATTTATTAATATTAAACTAATTATTGTAAATATAGTGTAGGTTGAATGAAGAGTGGGTTTGAGACGTCCCAGACCAAAATTTCATGATAGGGATGAGCTTGAGGGACTCAAAGAGAGTATTCTAATCATTTTTTTAATTGATTTCATAATGTTGACTTAACTATATTGTTAACTAAATTTAATTTATAATCTCATATCCAGTTTATTTGGACACCATATATAGATGTAAATATTGTGTTATTATATGACATTTGTTTTGAGAGCATGGACATGTAGATTGCATGTGCTCTAATAATAAACTAGAAGCGTGTTGAGTGGCACCTTCCAAATCGTGTTATGTGTCAGTTTTCAAGCACTCGGTCAATAATTATTGAACCCATCGAACAAGGTATCGAGAGAGTTGATGGGCGAGGTAAAGTGGGAGTTAGTTGGGAGTAGCATCATAGTAAATATATTGATATATGGAGTAATCGTAGAGCATTTTTTGTGCCAATAATCCCATCAGAAGGAGACAGAGAGAATTTATATTTATTTGTAGTGGTATCGGTCTTGGGCTTCTCCTTACTTAACGAAGCCTCCAACTAATCCTCTTGAAACCTATTATGCACAATCACCAGCAAAGAGAATAGCGGTAAATTTTTGCATTTATTTATAGCCGCAACTATTTTTCTATTATAATACATAATAATGATCTAAAATTACTAATCATACACCTGGAAACCATTATTCATATCAAGAACATTGTCGAAAGATTGGAAGGGATCATGGAGTAAGTGTTACTTCCATGAAACAATATTACAACCAGATTTTGGAGCTATCACGCAGAGTGGAATAATCAGTGCACATTGATTATACAACATTTGATTGGTATTGTCGACATCATTTGGAAGCAGGGACATCTCATAGCACAGTTGTCAGACTGAAGGGCCCCGTAGATAAGGCTTTGATGCTCCTCGTAGGTCATCTTCCTCCGCTGCGACGCGATCAACAACAGATGCTCCAAGGAGATCTTCCGTTAACAGAACACAAAGATCTATGTTTCAAAAAGCATAATATCAACAATATCGAGAGACATATGTTTATCCTGCCTAATCAGTATTTGCAGAACACTCTTGCTATGCAGGACCCTCTAGTTTTGCAGGACCATCCAGTTACGCAAGACCGTTCGAATATGCTTTACCATTAATATTTGAGGTTTCATCATTTGACCAGTAGCGGACAACCATTAGTAGTGGAGACTTCAATTTAATTTTTCAACACATTTCCATTTATGCGCCTATTTCTGATGTTGGCATGAATTTCAGTACACTACAAATATATTTTATGTCATATCCCAATGAACAAAGTGA